GGAAGATTTACACATATAAAAAATATCAAACCACAATGCCTGTATTGGCAGAAGGAGAAGAAGAATACTTCAAGCAGTTCTCATCTTTTTTAAAGAGCATTTAAAAAAAATAAGCTGCTGGTTTCGAAGCTAGTAAAAAATTATTTTTTTTTGTTTGTTGTTTACAAAAAAATGCTTGCCAAGTATAAAAGTCAAAATTATAAAATATATGTCGCTTTCCAAAATGTATTCAACAAAGTGTGATTGATTTTGATATTTCTCTCATGAGAAACAGGCTATAATGTCAAATTGAAATGAATGAAAATATTTTGTTTCAAATTTGAATTTGCTTAAAAAAAATTTACACAAAAACTTTCAAGCAACAAATTTTCTTAACAAACGTGAAATTGTTAAGAGATAAACCGCCGAGGAGAGCAAGTAAGTACATTTAAAGTTTGGTAATAAGTAAATACGTTCGACTTTGCTTAAATATTTAATGTAAGGAAACCAAGATGAAACGGAGCAAAACTTTTGAAACTTGAAAACTTTTTGTCGCTTTCATGATACAAACAGGAAGGTAGTTTCAATCAAGGTGTATTAAACAAGGTGTGATTGACAACTCAGTGCGGCTCTCTTTTAAGGTACTATAATGTCAAAAAGTATAAACAAACGAATTAACCCTTAGTGATGTATGTATCTTGTCAGCACTGATACCAAGGCTTTTATTTTGATTATAGTTTTGTTTTACTTACATTACCTGGAATATATATATTTTGTCAATAAAATAAAACAAATTGTTTATAAAATCGTTTTAGCAATTTTCTTGTTTTTAATTGCCCAAGTTTTATGTTTTGTGCGTTTATTTTTATATTTAAATTTTTTATCCTAAACATTATTCGACACTTATAGAAGTATGATTTTACATTTGTTTCCAATTTTATATGAGAGCTTGAAATTAAATTTTTTTTATGCGAAATAGTTTGGGTATAAACGAGCTCGTTTGAAAGTGCTTGACTCGGACGGACAACAAATGAAATCACTTTCCTTGAAGTGGTTTTCATAAACGCGAGATGAATTACGTAGTAGAACACTACATCGCTGCCGTCTTAACTCGCAACTAGGTGGTTTAAAACATCGCACTATTTTCGTGTCCTGACTTCTATTGCATACAGCGCACCGTTCAAAAGTTTTGCTCCGTTTCATCTTCGTTTCCTTACATTAAATATTTAAGAAAAGTCGAACGTACATATTTACTTATTACCAAACTTTAAATGTGCTTACTTGCTCTCCTCGGCGGTTTATCTCTTAACAATTTCACGTTTATTAAGAAAATTTGTTGCTTGAAAAATATTTGTGTAAATTTTTTTTAAACAAATTCAAATTTGAAAAAAAAATATTTTCAAATGGGTTAACAATTCATTTCAATTTGACATTATAGCCTGTTTCTTATGAGAGCAATGTCAAAATCAATCACACTTTGTTGAATACATTTTGGTAATAACCAAGGTGTATTAAACAAGGTGTGATTGACAACTCAGTGCGGCTCTCTTTTAAGGTACTATAATGTCAAAAAGTATAAACAAACGAATTAACCCTTAGTGATGCATGTATCTTATCAGCACTGATGTCCTAGGCTTTTATTTCGATTATAGTTTTGTTTTACTTACATTACTTACATCACATATATTTTGTCAATAAAATAAAACAAATTCTTTATAAAATCGTTTTATCAATTTTCTTGTTTTTAATTGTCATAGTTTTATGCTTTTGCGCGTTTATTTAATAAAAGTATGATTTTACATTTTTTACCAATTTTATATGTGAGCTTAACTCAAACAATTTTGAAATTAAATTTTTTTTATGTGAACTAGTTTTCCATTAAAGACCTTGCTTCGAGCGGTTTTAATTTAAGCTCTTCCATACTTGCTTGCATGGTTTAATTATTTCGGTAAGCCGAAATATTTCTGTTCGCAACGTGCATTCTAAAGAGTCGTCTGTTTGAGTTTGGGCCTCAAAATGGATGTATCCTGATCGTGTACTAAATCCTCATTTGTATCAGTTTTTCCGTATGGCATTGGGACTGCGCATGGGTATAAACGAGCTCGTTGGAAAGTGTTTGATTTGCACATCACTTTCCTTGAAGTGGTTTTCACAAACGCGAGATGAATCACGTAGTACAACACCAAAGCTTTCTTCCCATCACTGCCGCCTTAATTCGCAACTAGGTGGTTTAAAACATCGCACTATTTTGGTGTCCTGACTTTTATTGCATCGTTTCATCTTGGTTTCCTTACATTAAATATTTCAGCAAAGTCGAACGTATTTACTTATTACCAAACTTAAATGTACTTACTTGCTCTTCTCGGCTGTTTATCTCTTAACAATTTCACGTTTATTAAGAAAATTTGCTTTGCTTGAAAAATTTGTGTTTATTTTTTTTTGTTAATTAAAATTTGAAAAAAAAACACATTTTCAAATGGGTTAACCATTCATTTCAATTTGGCATTATAGCCTGTTTCTTATGAGAGCAATGTCAAAATCAATCACACT